TGTTTTCTTTTCCGATCACACTTTCCGTTGGGGAAGGACCGTCTGAACTCAGGACAAGGGGACAGGCTGACAGAAAGAGAGAGGAACTGTTAGCCTTGTGGAATCAGTTCCTCGTGGAGRTACAGCTGTCTGGACCGGATGCCGAACAACACATCCGTGATAATTTCGATCTTCAGGGGGTTGAAGACCGTCTGAAGAAGTCTATCACGGCTGTGGAAGTTGTGGCAGCCGGCACAGAGGCCTCCAAACTGATTACTCAGGGGCGACAGGCTCTAGACCAGTTTGCTTTAAAGCAACTGGAAGAGATCATGGAAGCTACTCGCAAGGGGGAAGTAAAAACAGAAGTAAGTGAAGAATCGATTGATTCCAATATCCAGCAGCTAAGAGAGGCCTTGGCTGCGGAAGAAAGAAAGAACGAAGAAGTATCTCGAAGAAGAGAACAGGAACAGCGAAGAGGACAAAGAGTTAAAGAGATCAGGCAAGTAATTGGAACAGAAGTCAGTGAGCAGGCTGACATGTCACAAACGTTGGCTCATATTGTGACATATCTTACCTTTCTAGAAGAGAAGATTGATAGACAGCAGAATCAGTTGGATGAAATCGCTGTTGGATTGAGAACAATTGCTTATATTGTGAAAGGTAAGAATCAGATTCTGGGAGGAGAAGAACAAGAAGAGAAGAAGGAGAAGAAAGAAGTAAAAAAATTGATGGGGGACGCAATAAAGTCTGCTGGTCCTGTGATAAAGACAAATGGAAATGGAAATGGATCCAATGGAAATGGATCAAGTCMACCATCTACTCCTCACTCTTCTCATTCTTCTAAGTCTACTCCTAAAGAAACCCCAGAAAAGATAAGCGCTGAACCCGAAAAACCGAAAAAGAAAGAAAAAGTGAAGATGAAGTTGCCATTTACGTTTTGCAACAAGAAAGAAGAGAGTCTGTTGCTGTGGATTGCAGAAATCCAGACGTATGTAAGTACCGCACCGGTCGAGCCGGAGTCCCAAGTCGCGTTCACCACTTCTTGC